GGCTGTGCCTGCAAAGAATTTACTATAATAAATTGGAATTCTGTGTTTTCCTACGCTGGAGGCCACAGAGTCTCCCCGTCCAAGTAACTAAGACCTAATTGTTCCCGTAGATGTTGTGTAGCATCAGTTGTCGTCTAATCAGCCCCACATGCCTGTTTCACAACAGCATAGCCAAGTGGATAACTCTGAGAGTTGGAGAATGCAGCAACATGGCCCTTTTCCAGACAAAAGGCTGCTGGTTTTCCTTTGGAGTCAGCCTCGCTAACTTGGCTCATTTGTCTCTGCAAATGGAGGAAAGGCAGGTTTGGCGTTTGTGCCCCCCCAGTGGAAGGCCACTTCAGGCCCAGCTGCAGGAATCAGATGTAGCGGGGGCCAAGTTTTTTTTTTTTTTTTAACAAACAGCAGCAGCCCGATGGTAATCATTTAACAACGAAGCCGAACGGGGGGGAAAAAAAAATAAACAAACAACAAATTCACATTGCTTTCATTCATTTCATTTCTGCAAATGAGGCAAAGCATGCTTACCAACACACAGAACAGTAGTGAAACGAAAAGGGCGACTTTAGCAGATGCACTCAGATTTTTTATGTTATTTGATTGCACATGACATATTTGGAGGTTTGGATACATTGTTATGTCTAATTTCACTATTCCGTGTTAACCAGATTTAAGTCAGGCAGCCAGAGGGGCTGTTAACACCTCAAAGTGCACTCCATCTAGCTTCCTTCACTTTAAATGTGTTAAACGACATTACAGTACAACTGCGGTTAAATTATATTTGCATTCTCACCCCTCTTTGGGCAGGGAGGGCTGCGTTTTTGATCTCTTATTTTCGTTAAGCAATTTTGGCTTATCCCGATATTCAAAATACTTTTTGGTTCCTGGAGGTCGTCTCTATTAATATCAAGAACAGAGGCAACGTCACACTGTGTGTGAGAGAACAGTCGATGTAAAATAGACTACTACTTTAAAGAAAGATGAAATGATTTTGGAGTTTAAACAATACAAATCGTAACGTCGGATTGCTGCTCAATTTGTTGAGCATCTTGGCTCATTGCAAACCGAGTCGAGAAAATGGTGATTTTTCTTTGATCAGCTGGTTTGGAATGAGAACAGAGGAATTCAAACCACATGCTGAGGGAAAAGGATCTCGTCTTTACTCAACTCAAATTTGAGCTTCTGTGATGCAATTGATCGATTACAAGCTTGCAGAAGTTGGCTGAGAAGCCTTTTCCAGAGTTCATCAGAAGTGAGGCGGAGGAGAATCGTCTCCAGCGGCTTCTCCTTTGTTGAAAGTGACAAGCTAACCACCTCTTCGGTTTTAAAAAGGCCGACTTATTATCACTAACATATGGAGCTGCACCGTTTTGGCCACAAAATGATATTACTTAGAGGCAAACCTGATAACTCGCCGTTAAGATGGATGGACGGAGGGACACGTGGAATGTACATCACTGAGTCCTAAAAATGAGATGAAATTTCACCCTGAGAAAGTACCGATGTTCTCCTGAACTCTGTGCATTACTGCTGCTTCAGAAAAAAATGCAGCAGGAAACGGCGCATCCAGAAAGTATTTGGAGTGCTTCACGTTTTCCACATCTTGTTACATTCCAAATTGTATTAAATTAATCTCTTTCCTGAAAAATATACCCACAAATATCCCGTTATGACGATGTGGAAATTTTATCAAAAGAAAACCAAGAAGTAACCTTTACGTATGTATTTACAGATTTTGCTTTGGCAGAAGTCCCAGCCTCAAATCTCTTAGAATATGACGCCACAAGTTAAACTCACCTATCTTCAGGCAGGTTGGGCCAGTTTCAGATCTTTTCATATATGTTCAATCAGAATCATGTCGTGGACTCTCCTCGACATTCAGAGAGGTTCTGAAGCCACACCTTTGAGATCTTGGCCAAATGGTTTGGGCCGCCGTCCTGCTGACCATTGAACTGTCGCCCCAGTCTGAGGTCCAGATGCTCTGGAGCAGCTTTTCATCCAGGATACGTTTGGGACATTGCTGCATTCATCTTTCCCTCTATCCTCACTAGTATGACAGTTCCTGCTGCTGCAAAACATCCCTACAGCTTGATGCTGCCACCACCATGCTTCACTGTAGGGATGGTATTGGCCTAAGTGTTCAGTCTTTGTCTCATCAGACCAGACTATCTTGTTTCTCCGGGTCCGAGAGTCCGTTATGTGTCTTTTGGTAAACTCCAGATCGGCTGCCATGAACCTTTCATTAAGGAGTGGCTGCTCTGCCACCCAGGCTTGACTGGTGGATCTTGGTCTCCTCCCTGACTAAGGACCTTCTCCTCCAATCACTCAGCATAAATGGCTGATCAGCTTTAGAGAGAGTCCTGCTGTGACAATCGTGTCCTGTGTGCTGGATTCACTCCGAGTGGTGGAAAACTCTCTCCTTTCGATTTTGTTCATCGCTCCCTGTGTGTTGACCCCACAAGATTGTAACAACAAATGTGGAAAAAGTGAAAAGCTGTGAATACTTTCTGGATGCACAGTGTTTCTCCTATTCAATGAAACTGGTGCCACATGTATTAAAACTGTGAAAAAAAGATAACGTTCCTTCCCCTCCTACCACTGTGATTATTGCCGTCTGAAGAAATGCTAGCAATCAGAGCTAGTCAATCAACCTTGTGTACACGCTGCTCAATGTACTAATGGCAGAGAAACAACCACTACAGGAAAACTGTTTATCCGCCGCCATGCTAACTATCTTGAGAGTTCGTGACAGGCTCTGCTGTGGATGTGAACGGCGAATAAGAACGAGTTCTGTGTTTCCGCAGTTAACACTGAGATCACTAGAAGGCATAGGAGCTTGATTTGTTTCACACATTATCTGCCGTACACTGTCACAACAAAGTGATAGTTTCAACAAACGTGCAAAAAACTGTTTGTTTTATAAGTTGCGTACCGTAGCTTTAAAGTGCCACGTTTAGTTTGCATAAATAACTGTGGCTGAGAGCAAAGCTCCGTTGCCTTAATCCGTCCTTCCAGATGTATCTCACAGTTATCATTCACCTCTCACATGTGCCCACCTGTGCCACAGCTGATTGTTTCCATCTGACTTTAAAAAGCCTGGAGTTAGAATCTTTCAGCAGAGGTTTCATGAACACTGGTGAGGACATCCTGCTGAGTGGATCTCATTTTTCATCTTCAGCAGACCAGATTCCTTCAAAAGCCCCACATTCCCGCTCTTCAATACGACTCGTTAAACTGTCTTATAAACTGACGCCGGGGGTTCTTTCTTGATAACCTGAAAAGACCTTCAACCCATAGAATATGTCACCAAAATCTGGCGAAGCCGGCCTTGGCATTATTATTTTAGATTTGATTTGCGACGCGCCGACTGCCGTCAGGAGTATTTCTCCAGAAGTTACTTCCATGTGCCTTCTATCAGCAAGCAAATTAAAGTTTCAGCAAGACTGAGCACGCAGTCTGATGGCAACACATGGTCGAGGTTCGTGAAATTGAAATCTCAGAGAGCTCGGGTCACGAGGTGTAGCTTTGATCAAAAACGGACTGGGCGTGTGTGTGTGTGTGTGTGTGTTGGGGGGAGTTAAAAAGTGGGAATGAGAACTTAGATGACTGCACACCAAATGCTCTACACGTACAACAGGAACAGTCTGCAGAGATCCGATGAACTCAGAAGTCCTGGACTAAAATCTGCACTGAGAGATTATTTTGACTGTTATTCAAAAAACATCTTGAATATTTAAAACAAGATGGATCGTGTGGTTACGTATCAAGGCACTTAATGAGAAAGTGACGTAGATGCAGCATTTAGGCTCGTTTCGTTCTTTTTTGTGCAAAAAAAGTCATTTTGTTCTAAGCATATCAGGGTCAAACTAAGCGACGTTCACATTAGGTTCACATCTTAAAGTACTTAAGCCAAACCTGTACAAACAATATATAGACATATTGAATTTAAGATTAAATAAAAAAAAAAAAAAGCTTTGTCAGTGATTAAGTTCTACACACAACTCAAGTGGCTAGAAGTAGATTTAGCTTCACCTGGTCCAAAAAAGTAAAAAAAAAAAAAATCCTATTGAGCACCTCTTGCTATCCAGTTATTAACCGGTTAATCCAAAAAACAGTCTTCAGATTAGGACTACGCTATGCTGATTGAGGAGTATTTGTTTTAGTTGCAGGTGCATTCTTTGCTACAATTGATGGAGCGCACAATAAAATTTTTTTATTGCATTTTAGGCTAAACAAAAAGAAATATATGTATATATGGTCTTATTTCAAGAAGAATTTGAATCGTTTGTTTATTGTATTTCTAATACAAAAAGATGTAATTAAACCTAAAATAGGCTTAGGTAGTTCAATGAATAATCTGCAAGTTGTTCCCTTCCTCTCCACCTAGATAAAAAAAAACAGGCAAAAGGAATAAAACTGCTAAAAGTCTGAGCTTATAAGTGTCTCGCGTACAAAAAAAAAAAAAAGCTGGCCAACTCACCTATATGCACTTTAATAAGCATAGCGAAGTCACAAGATCAGCGAATCACATGACAAGACCAAAACTATGAATGAGTTGATGCTGCCGACCGGGGGGTTGTGTGCAGTTCATGGTTCACGCAGCTCATTTCCCTGATGTCCAAAAAGATCTAACGAGACTCTGGAGTTTACAACCGTGAAAGAAGCCGAGAGGCTGCAGCCGGGCTTTGCGGTCCAGTGTGCTCAGCTTCCTGCTGCTCGGGCAGTTCACACATGGATGGATACCCCGACATGTGGAAAACACCTTCAGTAAGTTTGCCCACAACACTGCGACGTTAGGCTTTTTGCAGCAAATGACGCAAAAGGTCAAACCTTGTAAGAAAAAGATGATTTTTTTTTAAAATATAAATATAGAGGTTTTATAAGAGGTGAGACATTTTGACATGGCTCATGTAGGAATCATACATAAATATATTTTATGCATTATGGTCATTTATCTTCTGATCAAATTGTCAATTATTTGCAACTGTTTGCTCATTCCTTACCTGGGCGATGTTCTTGTTTAGCAAGTAGACGCCATATTCAAAATGAAAGCGCTCTCCTCTAGGATACAACGGGAATCTGTAAAACACAGAAGGACATTTAATTGGAGAGGATTACGAGATTTACTGTTTATGATCGATCAGATGATGATTTGATGGCTCAGAGCAGACGTTAATCTAGTCATTCCTTCGTTTCGTGTGAGATTCAAAGCTGCTGCATGTGTTACAGATCTTAGAAAAAAAGTTACAGCTCAGATTGCAAAAAAAAAGCTTCATTTTAAAGGTGTCTGATTGGAAACATATCTATCACTTTGCAAATTTGTAAGTCTAGAGAACACACGCTGATAAAAAAAAAAAACCTAGAAAAAAAACTTGAACATTTGGAAAAGTTGAAAAATTTGCTAGCAAATTGGAGATACATTTCAATTCAAACTTTCAACTTTTGAAACTCAGAATATTTCCAAAAGTCAAAGTTTGTTTTTCCAACCAATTTTAAAACTTAGAAATTTCCAAGTTTTTTTCTAGAAAATTTCTGAGATCAGTTTCAGAATTTCTGTTTTTTTTTTGTTTTTTGTTTTTTTGCCAGAATTTACTCCTTTTTTTTTACCATCTACAAAGTCCCTAGTACACCTTCACATGCTGAAGCATGTGCTCATGCAGTCTGCAGCGTTTGCATTCGCTGACAGATGCAGACGAGGTAAAAAGCTTCGTCTGGATCCATAGATACCCAGTCAGCACCTTGTTCTACTGAAGCATCAAACAGGAGCAGCGCAGCACCATCTTTCCGCCTCCAAGCACAAACAAAGGGAGCTTTTGCTTTCAGCGCGACGGGAAAGTCCCATCAGTGAAACCCAGATGTCTCCGTCTGGGCAGAGACGGAGCAGCGGATGCTGACATGAAGTGGGAAGTGCTGTGAAACCGGTGGAGTCGTCCCTGCCTGTCATTAACAGCTTATATCGGCCGATCTCCCACCGAGAGAATATTCAGAAAGCTACGCCGCAGTTTTTACGTTAGAATGCAGAGCATTAAGTAGGACGGCCAGTGAAAAAGCAACGTTTCAGAATCGAGTGTGAAGGCAGTTAAAAAAAAAAAAAAAAAAAAAAAAAAGGAGCTTCCCGGAGTTTCTTTGTGGTCTCGTCCAAAAATGTCAACAAAATACACAAGCTCTTCGAAGGACAATGGTTTTATTTAGAGTCAGAATGAAGCTGTTTGCATAAAACCGCCTCACACAGCTTTGTCCTCACAGGCGACCATTAAAGTCATCTGTTGCTATTAGCAACACATGTGCTTGTTGTTAAGTACGGGTGAACCGGCGCGTCGGCCGACGTCTAGGTGTACCACGGCTCTTAAAAGGACATTTTCCGTCGCATCATTCACTACAGTTTAAAGATTGTTCATTAAGACATTCAGACACTGCTGCCATACGGAGCAGAGAGAGAGAGGTCAAAGTTCAAACCATCGCTTCCATCCATCACAATGGGCAAGGATTATATTCCCAATTCCAACACATCTCTGTCCCACTGTTGCCAACTTACTAACTTTGTTGCTATGTTTAGCCAATTCTTTTCCCCCAAAAGAAGACTAGCGACAAATCTAGTGGCTTTTTTCTGTGTGCAGAAAGGAGACCCACTGCACCACCATGTCGAGAGACATGGTGACGTATCCAATCACAAATGTTGAAAGCTGCTGGTGATTCCACTATGAATTAAGTTGATGTAAATCTCATTTCTCATGTTTATCGATGTTTCCCTGCATTTGATTCACTGACTTATCTCCTCCACTGCGTGTGTCTCCGTTAGCCGTCTTATTGTTCAATTTAATATTATACAAAACTGATTTATGTAGCATGGGTTCAGACAACGTATCTAAATTATTAAATTGACATTCTTGAGTTATTTTGCAAAAGTTATTTGTAGAGATGCACCGCAGAGATCATTTCTGTGTCTGTTACGGTATTGAAAAATCTCTAGATCAGTGACGATGCCTATTCTGTCTAACTCTATGTTTTATGCTTTGAGTGACATAATTTATTCTACATTATATTATAATTGCACGTTCTGATCCATTTCAAATGAAGTTTAGCCCTGAGGTGGAGCTTCGTCCTTAAAGGCGCTTGGTCCACTCAGGAGTTTTACTCAGCTGGTCAGTTGCCGAGGGAGATCAACAGTTTTCTCACACATGCATGAAAGAATCACGGCAGCATTTCAGGTACGTTTTAGACGAGGGAACAACATTATAATATGATGCAAATCTCAAATCACACAACACTGCCCCTTTAAATAAGAGCAAATAGATCATGGTTTACATTTTTCACAAATGTTTGTGCTAACAATGCAAGATCATGGTCTTTATATTCATAGTTATCATCGAAAGTTATACTGACCTATACGTACTTCAACTATGTTCTGCAGGATAAGCGCATCTGGCTTACTTCCTCTTCTTGAGGGGCTGGGACTCAGGTTTTTTTTTTCCATTTACAATTCCTTAAAAGTCCCTCATAACTGGGTAACTGCATATTAAATCAAAACACAAATCCTCCATAGTGGACTCAGTCGACTGCCATCACATTAATAGCAGTGGAACAGGAGGTTAAGCTGCGCCTATAGCAGATTACTGCAAGGCCTTGACGTTCTTAAACCACAAATCTTCAATTAATTCCACATTTGAGCATTTATAACATGAGCGTACCTCAAATCCCTTTCTTTTATTTGGCTTAACTAAAGGTCCTGTGTGTTTTATTATCTCAGCGCCTGTCTTGAGGTCTTAGAATCGTGCAGCGGTGATGGCTGTGAACACCTCATCACTCACGCCGTGGCTCTGGGAAGTTTAAAAGGTAAACCCCGAACAGATGGGGATCACTGCAGCGGTGGATTGAACCCTAACAGGAAGTTGCTGTAAAAAGTCTGGCAGAGTATAAAAAAAAAAAAAAAAGAAAAGAAAAAAGGACGACATAGGCTGGAGGCCACACAACCATTTTAGATGTTCATCCTCCGTATCCCTGACGTTTGAGGGAAAGCGACACGCCAGAGGTCAAGCCTGAGCAGTCGGAAAGAGCCACCGGAGACGGGAAGAAAAACAGATCTTCCCTTTGCTCCCACTGGCACAGCCGCTGTGATTTCCCCGCAAATAGATAGGATGTGATCGCTGATGAACATGCTGCATATGAAAAGGAAAAACAGAGGCGCTTCCAAAGTCCACACACGTAAAGTCATGAACGCGCAGGTTCAGTCGCAGCGCAGTGATTAATGAGCGCTGTCCGCCACGTCTTGAAATCACTCTGGAGAGATTCCGGTTCACCAAACACTAGGAATTTCTCCCGGGACGTCCAGTAAAGTCAAATATATTGTTACACAGGCGAAACGAGGATGGTGGAGGAGTGGAGGGCAGGAAGGGGGGGATCTGGACATAAGGAAGGTGAGGAGCAACTACAGGAGGAAACCATTCATGTTGTGGAGCATCCAGCTAGGACTGAAATGAACGATTATCATAGTAATCGAGTATTTTATCGATTATTCTGATGGATAAAAGAAAAACTGCACATTCCACAGATTTTTCATTGAACTTCTTAAACCTTATTTATTCAATATTAGAAATGCATTAAATACATTAAAAGACACAAATGGATAATTTCCCAATTTTCAATGCAAAATGCACATGTTTTTGTACAGTTCTGGCTTAATCACTGTTCTTGTAGTGTTTTGAGTCTGTATGCTCCAGTTAATGATTATTCAACAACTAAATTAGTTGATTGTTTCAAGAACTGATTAATCCGGATTAATCGTTTCAGTCCGACGTCCAACCTGATTTTATTTGCCAGCGAGGTTTTTATTTTTTGCGCAAATGCGATCTTAAACGACCGACGGCATCCGTGTCCATCTCGTCCAGTACCTATACCATCCTCTTCCTCGGCCAGGCCTTTGTTATGTGTGCAGAATGCGGTTTCTGTATGGTTGAGATAAAACAGAAAAGAAACGTCCTGCCGAAAGCAGCGTGCATCGCTCCAAGATCTCCGAAATCTGAATTAATTAAGCACGTGGCTTTCATTTGGTTTCAACAGAATGTGGAATACCGATTCGTCCGACCATAGTCCACACGTTTCCACTGTGTGACGGTCCTCAAACTCAGAGGAGTCCGTGCCAACTCTGGGGGATCAAAAAATAAAAAATACTGACAGAACTTCGTATTTGCATAGTAAAGTTTGAAGTGGCATCTGTGACTCTGCTCTATTGAATGCATTGCCCATGAGATTCTCTTAGCTTCTGATTAATGACAGATCGTGCTGTGGAGTCCTCAGAGATGGACATCGCATGTGTTCATCTCATCTGAATGTTTTCTGAAATATTTCTGCACAAACCAGAGGCAATCTGCCCATCTCTGGTGCTGAAATCTCGAGCATTTTGCAGATATTCAGACCACCAGCTCAAATATTCATTGTTTATATGGTTTACTATAATGTGCTAAGTTGCTTGTTGGACAGGCAAAAACACATTTATATGAAAATGAAACAGTTAATTTAAAACCTGCTCTGTTTATATGCTTCAATGCACTTCGGAGTGGCATAATGTGGCAATAAAACTTAAACCGCCATGAAAACAGCCAGGCTGGTGGCGTCTTGATCTGATTTTCATAGACACCACTGTTGAAGTGTGTGTTGACCTGTGACCCCAGCTGAAGGCAGAACCCCAGCAAAAGAAGGACTTGATCTAAATGGCTACGGCTGCACTAAATCCAGTTTTCCGGCTGATTGTCAATCTTTTAAAAATGCCCGACTTGTCGATTCAGATTTTGTCCGATTCTGAGGTTTTTCGCTGGGAAGTCGCTAATTTTGTGAAAAAGTCACTAAGTTGGCATCAGTGGGGTAACAGCTGTTACCTGCACATGTGCAAATGTGACCAGGTGGACAGGTGCTTTCAGTCAGCCCTCGTTCACAGCAGAGAACAAAGGGACAGTGGTTGATTTAAGCAACAAGATCAGTTTCTCCTGAAAGGATCGGCCGATCGCAGATCTCAAAGAATTAAGGAAAGCGTTTCCGATTCATTAGTGCACCCTTATAAACGGCCCAATAAAGAGGAAGCTGAC